AGATATATAAAAATGAATTTTATTTTAATTAAAATAAAGATAATAGAAATAATTAAATTGATTTTTTTATGAGAATAAAATGAAAATTAGAGTTATTTAGTTAATTAATATAATATATTATTTAAAAACGTGTCAGCTAGAGAAATAATGTTCGATTTGATAAAAAGAATAAAATAAAATTTGTTTATTAAAAATTTAGATGATCTTGTTGAACGTTTAAATGAATATGAATATTCATTTAATAGTCAATATGATTTAATAGAAAATGTTAATAAAATAAATCGAAAAGAAAATCCATCTCGATCATGTAAATCACGTTTTGATTTATCATTAAAATTATTTTATTATTCTATTGAAAATATCTTAACTATTGGAGAAGAAAACAGATTAATTTCAAATGAATTTAATTCACAACAAATTCAACAATCATTTCAATAAACGATTTTTCTTTTAAATGGATAAATAAATAAATAAATGGATTTATTTTAGTAAATTAATATTAAATAATTATTAGTATTATATGCTCATTCGGATAAATATCATGATTTTAATTGGATATTACATGTTTATTCATTAGATGAGTATTCCTTTTTTAAAATCATACAAATTTTTTTTTAAAACTTGTACACAAATAAGTAAATCAAAATCATTTATTAAATATTTATCATCAATGACTTTTTCAACAAAATCCTCATTATGGAATGATATTGAATTAAAAGGTATTTTATCATATAAAACAATATCATCAATTCAATCATCAAATAAAACAAATGTATCAAGAAAATTATTTCAATCGAATACAACAGATCAATTAACAGTAAGATTTATTATTTGATTTATTTAATACAATATTATATATATCAATGAATATGATTTATTTTAATTAAAAAAAAATTGTTTCCAAATTTTCATTAACGAAAACTTTTATTTTGAAAGAATTTTGTTCATAAATATTTAAAAACAGTGAAATATTTAGTCCGATCTAGTAACAAGAAAAATTGGTCCCTTAGAATACTTTATTTTTCTTTTTTTCTATATTTATCATGAAAAAATAACAATGAGAAAACATTTGATAATATATATCATCGATTTAAAAAGAGTTTATTTCTTTTTCATAATCGAGCACGATGAAAATAAACTCATCTGAAATTCTATGAAATATGATAATTGACGTCGACCTTTTCTAAAAGCTTGTCAAACAATGAAAATAATTCGATAAATAATAACCATTTTAAAGCCTGTCTACGGCGAACACTTGTTTTTCTTTCTAGAGCACACTTTTTGTAGAGGATATTAGAGAACAATTACGATAATTCCGTATGGTGTCAATCTTTATTTTTAGATGTAGAACTCCTTGGAATTTAATTTAAGAAAGAAAAAAGTTGATTGAATTTGATTAAAATCGATTTGTTGAAAAAGTTTTTGTTTTCAAATGAAAATTTTCAATAAATAAGATTATCTTCTGATATTGAATTCGTTTAATTGATTTTATCAATATTCAATGAATATTTTTTTTTCTCAAAAATTTTCAAAATCGAATTAACAAAAAGAAAAAAACGAAGGAAAATATCTTGCCGAAGATTTTTATTTTTATTCAAACAAATATTATTATAGAATAAACCAAAGACATTTTATTTGTCTTAGTTAACTAATTAAAATAAATCTTTATTAATATAATATCAATTTAATTCTTGAAATATTTCGTTTAAAAAAAAAAATTTTTTTTTTTCTAAAAAGTTGAATAGAATCTTAGAAAACAAAAATTTTTTAATTTATCATTTAAATTAACTTTCATAATGAAAATAAATCATAGAAATTAATAGGATAAAAAGAAAAAAAAACAGACGATGTTGTTGTTTAGAATAAATCGAAGTAAATCAGATGGAATTGTTGAAAATAATGATAAAAAACATATTAAATTAAGTCCATATACAATGTTTTATCGGAAATTGTATGAATATGTCTTATCTCATCTTGATCTTATTTGTTATCGTTTATACGGATCTCAATTAAATAAATTTGAAAAAATCATTTGGAATTTATTTGAAAATTATACTCAATTATTATTTCGTTCACGATTAATTCAAGTATATAAATCAATGCTAAATTCGAAATTAAAAACAGTTCGAAGTGTTTTTATTCGTTCAATGAACAAATATGATTTTGTTGAAAATGAGATTTATATTCAATTAAAGATATTTATTCTTTGTTTTTTCTTCAAGATAAAAATTCATGTTTAACACCATCAAAGGATATATAATTGGTGATATAACTAGTTTTTATAAAGAAATATTTCTAAACATTCCGAATATAGATAAAAATTTAAAAGAAAATCAATTAATTGATCTTCCTTATAGTAATAAAATATTTGAAAATATTAAATCAGGACATGTTAACGTAAATAGATCTTCAATTAATTATTCATTAAATAAAATTCAAACAAATTCAACATCGAATGTTTTATCATCATCGATTCAAGTAGGTAACCTTTTGTTCTTTTCTTTGTTTTTTTTCTTTTATTATTAATTATTTATTGTCAATTGTATAATTAAATATTTATTTAATATTATTTCTAATAAATATTGATCATGATAACTATATATTAAT